TATATATCAGACCTGGGGAAAATGTATTTAAATTATTATTTTAAAATACCATGTATTTTGTGTTTTTAAAATATAGTGTACTTACAGAAAAAGTATTTTAAATGCAAACAAATAAAATACAAAATACTCACGACTAATGTACCCAGTTGCACTTTACAACTGATTCCTATAAAAAATTTATAATTTGCTTTATAAATTGTATTGTATTTTTTTGTAAGAAAATTAGTTATGAAAGGTGGGCACAGTAGATGAAGTTTTAAAATAATCAATAGAGGAAAAAAATATATTATTCAATCAACATCTTTATTGAAGAATAATTTGTTAAAAAAGTTATAATTTATCAATAAACAAATAAATAGACCCAAACCAAACTTTTTGGCAATTAACTTTTGTATAATACCCGTTCCTCAAACAATTGATCATTCAACAATTTCATTCTAGGAGTACCCAACACGTTAAAGAACAACTTACCAGTTTTATTGCCAAAAATAATTGTATTAAGAATTTAGCTTTCATTATTCATGGGCAAATTTTTGTACAAACAATTAGCCTTACTACATAACTTAAAGGCACCTTCTCAATTTGATAATGCATTTTATATATTTGAAATAAATTTAATATGTTTTATAAATAAAATACAAATACATTTCATAGTATTTTATATTTAAAAAAAAAAATATAATTACAAACAATGTATTTTATTTGTATTTTAAAATACTTTATTTGAAATACTGCCCAAGTATGATACATATATAACAATGATTTTAGGTTTAACTTATTTATATTTTTTTCTTGGCAGATGCTTACATTTAATAGCTGTATATGTGTTATAATTGTGATGTCAGGATGGCCGAGTGGGCTTAGGTGCTTGTAATAGGTAATCAAAATTAAACCTTGAGCATGGTAAGTACTTGGATGGGTGACTGCCTGAATTGGATGACCATTCACCAGGGAAATCTAAATTGCTCGAAATTCTTCACCGCAGGTATGCGGGTCCCGTCAGGCTACTGGAAACAATTCAAACTGACCAGGCATAGGAGTGATGGCCCTATCCCATGTATTGGTTCATGGAAAATCTGTTTCAGGGAAAGAAATGCAGATATTTGTGCGCCTGCTGACTCTGAGCAGCCATAATCCATGAATCTAGACTGACTTGTCACTGTCCTTGAACTCAAATGAGTTGATGAGAAGGACACTAACAGATTGGTCCCAAAGGAGTGGTTAGGGAATTTTTAGTGTAAAGCTATGGGTTGCCTGTCACTGCACAAAATTTGAAAAAAGTACATATTGCGTTTTTGTAAGCATTTGAATCAGATCATACCACTCAGAGTAACAAAAATGGACCAATGAAATAACAATTAATTTTTTTACTTAATATAATGATTTTTTTTAATAAATTACTTTTTTTTTTTTGTTCTCCCCTTCCTCGCCTTTTAGACTATAAGGGGGTTTTCCTGGACCAAGGGGTGAGGGTGGAGGATTAATGCCAGAGTTAAAAGACCCCGGCACCTGGACGCGAACTCTTAATTATTCTGTCGTTTGTATCTTGGTTATCAGGCTGCCGGGCAACACACGGTGTTGTGCACATGCATCAGCCTGCTCGGCCACCCCATCCATAATGAATTATTAAAACATATTTTTATTTTTATTTATTCATGATATTTACAACTGTATTAAAAAATTAAATACATTAAGTAAATTTGATATAATAACATATTTAAAATCCATAAACAACATATTATTTTCAATATTTGAATATATAAGAAATTTTTTTAAAACTTTGCACTGTATGAAGTCTCCCATTACAAAAGTAGAAAAAGAAATAAAGTGAAGTGACTTGAAAGCCTGAGTTTGGTTAAATTCAAATTTTTCTAGATGAAATCCTAATTAATTTAAGTTCTACAATAAGTTGACACAAATGTAGGGCAAACCATTATTTTAAGGAGAAACTAAAAGACATAAACTTACATTCAGGCTAAATCAGTTAATATATACAAACATTTAAAACAAATAAGTAAAAAGTTAAAAGAAATATTTTGAAGCATTGATACTATTTAAACAAGAGGAATTCATATCTCCAATTACATTAAAATAATTAATAAATCTGAATAATCTTATTGAATTTTTAGCTTATCGAATAACCAAGTAGACTGTAACACAAAAATCCTAATACTTGACATTGAAGCCAGAGGATGATGCTTACTTACATGATCTCCAGTTCCAGCCATGTGAATACAAACAGGCTTAAAACCATCATCTTTCCACTTTTTTGGTAAAATCATTTGAAAATGAGCCTCTTTTGACTCTTTTGGAAGTAGTGTTGGTAGATAAAAATTAAAAGGGGAATAAAAATGTCCTTCAAGAATGTGTATATCACCTTCATATTCATCCTAGTAAATAGATAACAAAATTATGATCATAAATAATGATGATAACTATCAGGGTATTTCTTTATGAGATTGAAAATCTCATTATTTTGAAATATTAGCCTAAAGAAAGGATTTTATTTGAGTTATCCTTCATAAAATAATTGCCCTAGTAACATCAGTTACTTTTGCTTAAAATATACCATTTCTAGGTATCTTACTCTTAGAAGATTTATCTTTTTAAGATTATCATCATATTTTGATTTCAAAACTGAAGTACCCCTAACAGCATAACTAACTACTAGCTAGAGTTCATATATCTAGTAAAAATAACTAGATAAAGTATTTTTATAGACCTTATGTGATGGACTAAATCTCAGTAACTAATGTATTAAAATTTCTTTTGTTTTAGCTTCAAAATCTTATTCATTTCTGGTAGATCAGTTTAAAATATTCTTCTAGCTATTAAAATTTATTAATGGAAATCAAAATGAAATAAATTATTAAAAAAAAAAAAAGAGGTCTAAATGGTAAGTTTTTTAGCAGCTGTCTCAAAATGTCAATGAGGTAATAAAACAAAAATAAGCCATCAATTAGATATATTCTAGGTTCAATATATCATAAAAGAATTATCATATCTGAAACAAACTTTCTGTTAGGTAAAAAATTGATAACACAGACAAGCATGCTTTATAAGTCAGATCCTTTCTGTTAATATTAATATTAAATGAGTCAATACTTTGTGCTGTTTAATTACATATGGCTAGATTGATAAAAGTCATAGTACATGCGTAGTAAAACAATATGTCAATTATTTGGATTATTCATAATATATATCATCAAAAGAATGGAAAAGAATTCCAAATTAGTCATAAGATGGAGAGGCAGAGTAGCAGGTAAGGAAAATTATCAGGAATTGATCTCACTAGAGAGTGAACTGATAAGTATATTGTTATAAATGCATGCATGTGGAGGTCAACGTTGAATAAAATGATCAAAACTAAAAGTATTTATATCATTACTTAGTAAAATTCTGACAGCAAATTTTTATAAACAAATCAAACATTTAACAAACAAAATGATCACACTTAAAAAAACATTACATTACCTTAGTTATTTCAATTGGATAATGTTCTCCAACTAATTTAAAACAATCACTACGGTTAGAAAGAACCTTTCTAAACAGTAAAAGCCTGTAAACCGAGAAAAAAATAAAACACGTATATTTATAATAATAGTAATAATAATAACAATAATCAATATTTGAATAAATGGGTTGTAACAATAACAGTTTATTCAAATTATAACTGATTTGATTAGTCAAGTGGCTGTTATGCCCTTCGACACAAAGGATGATGGGATAAGCTTTGTATGGTATCCAACTTATCCAAGAAAAGAATGTGGCTATATATTAAAAATGTTTTCAGTCTTTATCCACCCTGTTTTCAAAGTCCAATACTCTAATTGGAAGGGAACGGAATTTCTGTAGAAGGTTTAAATAGGTATAAATTAGCAACTAATCACACCAACAGAAAATGAACATTGTAATAACTCTCGTTCTTGTTTCATTGTATACTCCGTACACACTTTTTATATAATTTTAAGCATGAATTTTCCTTTATCGAATAGAAAGAAGTTTACTTCAAATCCATTGAAAATCCATTCAGGATGGCCAAGACCCCCTATGCCTCTCCCAAATTTTGGCCATATAATTTTCTATTCTATAAGTTATACACAGCCATTATATTTTTAACAATTACATTAATTTGAATTGTTGAATGCAATTTGATGAAATAGATAATAGACCATTTGTATACTATTAATGGTAGTGGAACCTAATTTGTTCCTTGATGCCTAAAATGCTAATTGATTCTGAGGAAAAAATCTTTTGCAACATTCCACAAACTTCCCTAACTCAGGTAGTAAGGAAGTAATAATTGTTTGGGTACCAACTTTTTAAAACTTCTTAATTTTCTATTTATTTTATTGTTTTTAAATTTTTTTGACTCTGATTAAAGACGTTGAGCAAAACGGTCAATAAGTAAATTAGGGTAAGATAGTAAACACATGATAATAAGCCGAAAATACCACCCGAACAAGATCTGCATAAGAAGATAATTGTTCCCGAGAGTAGATAGATTCAAATACCTTAGCTCTACAATAAATTCCAATGAATTCAGAACAGTCTATAATGAACATCCTAAAAAGAAGTATAGAAAGATTTGAGAGGTAAATCCTCCGCAAGATAAAAGGAGCGATCTTGGATCAGAGTACTAAAGCATTGAGGGTTGAAGGACCGATAAAAGAACTGCTAACAGAAACTGGTCAATCAATATCCCACCATATGAAGGCAACGAGGTTAAGACGGGCAGGGCATGTAGCTCAGAAAAGTCCATCAGGAAGCTCTACACAACAATGAATGCCGCAATAGTTAGCAAGAGACCCTGTAGGGTCAAAAAACCTAAATTAATGTTAACCTAAAATTTCACCATTATGGATTATCACAATCTCATAATTCTTGAGACTAAACAATGTGTTTCTTTGTCTGGAGGTTTTTTATATTCAGGCATATTTCCTAGATAGGTTTAAGATTTGTATTTGTCCGTAGTTTCATTTGGTGTTCTGTTAGGTCCCGAAGATTCAATTCACAAGCTTATTTTTATTTTTTCTTACAAAAATTGGTTTAAAGTAGGGATTTTCAATTGAACGGCATATTGCAGTATATATACTAAACAAAGAAAATAAATCTGAGAAACGAACTTCAGCACAACTAATAAAATGAAAAAGTGGATTGCTTAATACCAATGCTCGCTCTTAGCATGATAAAGCTTGAACAGGAAGACATATTATATCTACATACATACATATACATTCTCCCCTGCAAGGTTAAAAAGAACAATTGGTCTTAAAGATTTCACAGTGGAAGGCTGGAGAAAAGAATTTTGAAAAAATAATTCAATCTTTCAGGTTTCAATCAAATTGCCTGCTAAAAATTGTGGAAATATTTAACAAACATGGGTAAATAAAAACATTTTTTAAGGACCAAACAATCCCTTCTAGTTATCGGTAAATCAGTTTTGGTCTTACTACACAGCCAAATTAAGATCCAAAATATTCATATAAATTTTTCCAAGGGCATTTAAAATAAAAAGAAGAAAAAAGCAATTTGAAAATCGTGACTTGGCTAACTCATTCTCTAGACCTCAATCCAATCGAGCTACATTGGGTAGACTTGAGGAGAAGGTCTGGTACACATTCCAACAGCACAAAAAAAAAGCTTTAAGAACTTCTGAAGAAAAGTTCTTGGGATAGTATACTTTTTGGTAAGTTATACTGACTCATTTAAAAAATGCAATGAGTAAAAGACGTTTTGAAAAATAAGGAAATTTTCTGATGAAAAAATGTTATACATAGCTTAGTAATACTGCTTTAGTGTCACTCCAAAATGAGGAATTAGCCCATGATCACACTGTACATTTAATTCCGAGAGTTGCAATAAGTTTTCAAGACAGTGTTGGAAAGTAAATATAGACAAACCAATTTCAAAATATTAAATAAATCACACAGCATAAACTGACTCATTTCTAACTTAGGTAGAAGATATACATGTGTATAGAAAATATTATATGTGAAATGTCAAATCAAACAATTTCTATATTACTGATCGACAATTATCATGATTCTCTATACATTTTCAGGATAGTGATCAAAATAAATTTGTATGACAACAATTGTGAAGCTGGGAATTTAATTAAAACAATCGAGATTAGAATGAGGAAACAAATTAGAAGTTGAAACCGTACCTAAAGACCAACATAATAATGAGTAGCACTGTACGAATGTGACTCAATAATGTGCAGTGGACCAAGATCCCTTGTCCGTGCTATAAATGGGGTTCAGAGAATAGGCCAGGATTCACATTATAAGCTCTCTTTACTTAGATCGACATTTAAGAATTTGACTAACTCCCTTATGTTCCTTTTCAGCTAAAGTTGGAGCTTAAATTATATCGCTGCTTTTGACTCCCGCATGCTATGCTTGCTCTAATCAGATGAACAAACCTTCAACAGGTCCTTTTTAGTGGAGGTCGGAGCATTAACAGAAGGTTCAGTCACTTCCACCTACTTCAGAATACACTAACTGATGATGAACCCTTTTATCTCGTGAATCCATTTATACCATGAACAAGGAATCTTGGTCCACTGGACAAGGTGGAGTGACATTTGTACGTTAGTACCTAATAATGTTACAATAAAAAATAATAAATAAAATAACCAAAATTACAGACAAATAATAAACAAAATTTGTAAATTCCATGTATTATGTCAACTTTAATAAAAACATATTTTATCAATGTGCTTAACTTCTTACAATAATTATTATTAAAACCTAATTTACCATCTAATCTTTGATAATGATTATGAAAATGATTATATTAAGATTTTCATTTCATAAACATATTATTAAAGATTATTGTTTATTTACTGCCCTAAATATTACAAACTACATTTCAATAAGTGGTGTCTAGACGTATACTGCTAAAAGATTTATATAAGATACTTAATAAATATCTTCATGTATATAATTAAATATTATTGATTTAATTGCATTAATTATTAAATTTTATTATATCCCCATAATAATAAATGCAGTTTGATTCATTTAATTTTTTGTGCTGGAAATGTAAAATCACTTGTTAAAAGACGGAACACATAGCTTACAAATCACAGAATCATGTGGTCTTATACCCATCAATCATCTTGGAGTGCCATTTATGAAGTAGTACCCTTTAGGTGTATTACAGTTTTGTTGGAAAATGATCTTACTTAAGGTTTATATATTCCAAAATTTATGTATTGAATTTTCTCAAAAAATTGAGGTAGCCATTAACTTTTGACCGACAGTGTAAATAATACATTTTTGAAGACAATTCATTTTATACATACAATAAAATCAAGGATAGTTAACAAAAATCTACACATAGTATTCACCTTTTAAGATTTTCAGGAGTACCCCATCCTTTAATGAAATATCTAGATAACAGGATACCCCTATAAAATCTATCCAATTTGCTAAAGGTCATTTCAAACTGATACTCAACCTAGTAAGTTGGTTTCAAATAAGACATAGTTTTTTTCTAATAATACTTAATGAAAAAATAATAAAGAAAAACGTTAACAGACATATTTCTCAAGACAAATGAAAAAAACACATTGATTAAAGTTAAAATTACTTTTCGCAAACATGATAACTGGTTTTAAAATTTAGCCTGACATTAAAATAGTTTGGAGCCTTTTTGTCACCTCATAGATTTAAATATGTTATAAACACTTAAACCAAAGAGATTACATTAGAACAAGATTCTCTCCACTGAAAGTCTAATAAAATCTAAATCTAAAAAAGAAATGAGAACTTTATTTTTTTTTCACTTCCTTCTGACTGGTATTAGGGGTGGAGTAGACTCAGTTTATCTCTTGTAGGGATCCCTATTCAGAACGATCCTTCGGAGTTGGTTAATTAGGAAAAACCGCTTTTCCTTCCGAGTTGTCGATGTAGCCATTTTGGCCAACTCTTAATTTACTAACAGGGCGTTTTCCTATTGTTCTTGCTTCTATCTGCCATCAGGTATTTCGTTCACAATCTACTAACAGGGCGTTTTCCTATTGTTCTTGCTTCTATTTGCCATCGGGTCTTACCGATGCGGTAACTTGGTACATATATCTTAAGAATTCCCAGATTTTCTGTTTTCCGATTCTATATTCTTCCATGCTCTTCTGTATGGTTTTACAGAATAATAAGGAAGAATAAAGACTTAAATAGAGTTGTGTCTTTCTAATTCTGTTAATATATGTTGGTCTATTCATCTAACTTTACTGGCTACCTAAATTATCAAAATTATCCACCTCTTCAAGGATCTATCTGAAGCAATTAATTGGAAACTGTTGGTTTATCTTTCCGATATGCAGTATCCAATATCATAAAGTAACCTGGAAATAGGATTCAATATTACACAGTGTCCTGGAAACAGGATCCAATATTACACAGTATCCTGGAAACAGGATCCAGTATTGCATAGTTGCCCGAGAAATTTTCCTTTTGCATATCATCCATGCCTCGTCCATTTAAATACTAAAAATTAATATTGTAAAGTTAATGCTTGTTATCTGGCAGAACGGCTGAGTTGTAAACAAGGTAGGTTGGCTTGGATGAGGTTAAACAGAGAGTTGTTCCTGATAGTGTGATGTTTATGTAGAAGAATAAAAGTGTTTTGTGTATTAGGTCCAATGTTTTGTATACAGTGTGGTCCAAGCCTCTAAATGGTTAGTGTGTAGCAATTATATAGTCTGAGTTTAATTAGCTAATTTCGTAGTTTGTACACGGAGATTCGTTGTATATATTTACCAGATCCATCTCTTAAATGTGCTGAATCCACGGGTGAGATTGAATCTTTATTTCAACTGGATCTTGTGCCGAAAGGAGCGAGGGAAGTTCGCCAGGATTTCAGTCTGCTTACAAATAGCTTGTTAGACATTTTAGTTGAGACTGAGAGTGGGGAGCGCATGCGTAAGATAAGGCCTACTTCTGGCCTCTATCTATAATTCAGTAACCCCAGTATTCAGGTTGGATCATGTCAATTTTCGTCACATTATTCAGCGTATTATTTTTTGGATTTTGCACTATATTTATCAGGCAAGATGGTTTCATGCCCAATATGCGGACTGACAGTTGCCAGAGAAGACAAGAAAACTCTGACATGCTCTATCTCTTCATGTCAAGCTATTTTTCATGGCAAATGATTTATCGCGACGAATGTGAAATTAAAAAATTAAGGGCATCACGGAAGAATTGGGCATGTCCAAATTGTGTAAAAGCTCAGAAAAGTAGTCAATTGAGCGATAAGTGCTCTAGCCCAGGAAGATCAGCTTCTCAGAAACCAACTGCCTCCGACGCCACGTAACAGCTGCTCATGACCGCCATCCAAGATCTAACGGCGGGGGTAAAATGATTAAAATTCGCCCTAGATGTTAATGCCAGCAAGGTAAAGGAATTAAAGATAACGCTGGAGAAGCAGACCGCTATTACATTTGAAAACGCGAAAAAAATACAAGCAATAGAGACCCTTCTGGAGACTCAAAATTGAAAATTGGAAGGATTAAAGATGGAAAATGCGACACTCAGGTCCCAGGTGTCGGAGCTTGAAACTAGACTCAACAGATCCGAGCAAATGCACTTTTCCAGGTCGATTGAAATAAGGGGAGTCCCGGTGAGATCTGGGGAGACACCCATGGGCCTGATGATGGACGTGGGGACTGGCTTGGGCCTGAACTTAAAGCCAGAAGATATCGACTGCTCAAAGCGGATGAGATCGAGGCAGGATGATACAACCGCTTCTGGTGAGATTCGTCCGACAGTCGCTCAGGGAAGAGTTGGTCCAAAGGCGGAAGGTTATACGGGACTTCTCAACTCGTTACCTGTGATGCCAGGAGAATGATGATATGATGCTCATAAAATATATGTGGGGGCGGGGTGGCCGAATAGGCTTAAGCGTGTGTAACAGCACCGCTAGTTGCCTGGCAACCGGATAACAGAGATTTGAGATGATATAAAAAGTACGAGTTCGCGTCCCGGTGCCGGAGGGGATTTTAAATTTCCCCGCCCTCACCCCCCGGCCCGGGAAAATCCCGTATAGCCTAAAAGGCGAGGTAGGGAAGAACAAAAAAAAAATAATAATAAAAAAAAAATAAAAAAAAAAAATAATAAAAAAAAAAAATAAATAAAAAAAAAAAATAAAAAAAAATAAAAAATAAAATATATGTAAGCGAGGCAATGTCTATAACCAACCAACACCTATATTGGTTAGCCATATTTTAGTTTTTATTACTGTATTTGCCCTTTTTTATTTTTATTTTCTAGATTATGATTTTTCTGCTTTTAATTTAATATATTTTGATAATAATTTTATTTTTGTTTATAAGAAAAGTGTAAGTTTTATTCTTTTAGACATTTTAATTCACGTAAATATTGTTTTGTTTTTTCGCTATAGAGGTAAACCTTTCATTTAATAAATTATATTTTCTACTTCTCAACTAGAAAATTAGTATTCATTATTTCTTGTTTAGCATCATTTATTATTATACTTATGGTTCTTCTTAATAGAGGAGTCAGCAACAATTATGTATTCTGGGTTCATACTAACTCCAACCACCATTGAAATATTCATACCCCAAGCCTTTCCAGTCTGTTAACCAAGCCAACCCTCCTTCTCCCATGACTAACATCCTTTTAACCTGCCACGTCAACGCTCAGTCACTCCTAGCTCATTTTGATGAATTTTATGATTTTTCCCTCCGCAACTTCTACCATCTAATCGCAGTATCTGAAACCTGGTTAAAGTCCTCTATTCCGTCTTCCCAAATTACTTTATTTAATTATACACTCCTTCGTCATGACAGAGTGGACCGTACAGGTGGTGGTGTAGGTCTCTTTGTTCATGACAACCTTAGATTCAAAATTCTTCATTGCTCTTCCCATACCCATTCTCCACACCTAGAATATCTTTTTTCTGAAATCCTAACCCCACCACCCCCCCTTCTCTTTGCAGTCATTTACCGCCCTCCCAAAGTTCAGTTTGATGATTTATTTGAGAACTTCCTTTACAACTTGATCTCTTCCTACTCCAATATTATAATCACTGGAGACTTCAATACCAATTTGATGATACCATCCTCTGACCATTCCTCCCTGACCAATCTTCTCCAATCCCTTAGCCTTTATATAGTACCTTACAACCCTACCCATCATACTCAATTCTGAGACTCCTGGCTTGGTCTGTTTATCTTGGATTCCCTGGATAAGCTCTTCGCAGTATCTCAGCACCCGGTTCCGTTTCTGTCTTCCCATGATCTTATCCAAATTTCCTACAACATCCCGGTCCCATTTTTTTCTCCTCGAGTCATATCCTTCCGAAAGCTCAATTCCCTCATCTATGAAGCCCTTTCGCAGGATCGCGACGCTTCCCAGTGAGAAGAGTTTATTTATTTAGTCCATTTATTCCTTAAAATCCATTGACGTCATGCTAGAAATCCTTACCAACCATCTTCATGCCATCCTTTACTGCCATTGTCCTCTCCTAACTAAAAATCCGACATCCCCCTCCTCCTTGGCTGACACCCGCTCTGAGATAGTGTATGAGAAGAAGAGATGCTGCGAGACGGCGGTTTAAACGTAATCAATTCACGGAAGACTACATCGCCTTCAAGCAACTTCGAAACAGCACTCAGTCTGCTATATGCCGAGCCAAATCCCGTTATTTCCATCATTCCTTATCCAACACCCTAAACTCCAAGGCCAAGTGGGCTATCCTAAAAAATCTGACCATTTGCAACAGACCTCAAACCCAGTTCATTTCCTTTTCTGCCGATGACCTTAACGCTCACTTTGTCTCCTGTTCCTTCTCATCCTCACCTCCTGTGACCATACCGGCTCCTATGTATTTCCCTTTTAATTTTAATCCTGATCACTTCTTTTTTTCCCATATTACACCTGATGACCTCCTCAACACCATTCAGAAATCGTAAACCAATGATTATGGACCCGATAACATCCCAGCCAGACTGATCAAAGACCAGACAGACTGATAACATACCACCCATCCTTCCAATCCACTACCATATCTACAATTATTCACTACAAAACGCTACCTTTCCTACATCCTGGAAAACCGCACTAGTTCGCCCTATGAAGAAGACTTCCAATCCACCAACTGCATATGATTTCCGTCCAAATTCTCTCCTCTCAAACCTTTCCAAACCTTTAGAGCGACTAGTTCAAACCCAGATGTCCGACTTTTTAGAACAGAATAACCTCCTAAAAATCCCAACCAGTCCGGTTTCCGACCCGGCTACTCCACTCAATCTGCCCTCATCAAAATTTCCCAAGACATTCATACAGCCATGGACCAGCAGAAACTCACCATCTTAATTTTCCTTGATTTCTCCTAAGCCTTTGACTCAGTAGACCACAAAATTCTCCTAACCAACCTTAAAAATATCTCCTTTTCAACTAGTACTCTTAATTGGTCCCAATCCTCCCTTACCGACAGCTCTCAATATGTTGTAGTCCCCAATAACCCTCCATCAGAATCTTTACCCTTGTCCAGAGGTATCCCACAAGGCTCCTCCTTATCCCCCACCTTTTTTTTCCATCTACATCAATGACCTTCCATCCTCTATCCTACACTGTCAATACCATCTGTATGCCGACGACGTCCAAATTTACCTCTCCTTCAATCGACCGAATCCTCTGACGCCATCCAAAAATTACAGGAAGAAATAAACGGAATTTGTGCCTGGGAAAACCACAATAGAATTACTCTAAACTCCGAGAAGTCGAAAGCCATCCAGATCGGAACTCTCACTCCTCAAATCCTCACCCACACTCCCCAATCTTTACCTGAACAACTCATCTATCTCATTCCATACTTTCGTAAAAGACCTTGTTGTTACCTTTGATCAAACCCTTTGATCAAATTTGGTGAATTGGTAAGGTATAAAACCACGGTCGACCTACGCCGACTTTTACTAACTTTGTCAAAAACTGAGACAAATTACTATAAATGGCCCTGCAGCTTGGAAATGAGTTCCTTAAGAGGAAAAATCCATAAAATCAAAGTTGTATAGCATCAAATTTTGGGCCGAGTACTGATATTTTTATTGTAGGCCAATTATATATCTCGAGTCGGAATTCGTCATTCCTTTCTGAAATTCTGTATCTTTCGACATGTCATTTATCAAAATCCTTCGCTACTGAGAGGTGGAAAAGAGGCTTATACTGCATGTAATAGACTCTAAACTAAAACAACTCATCAGGATAGACACCTAAACTGTTGAAATATTGAAAATCACGTTTACCTTCATTACCAATTTCTAACCATCGGGAGATTTTTGTTCGAAGTAAGTGACCTACATTAAATAAGTTGGTAAGTACTAGACGCAAAATTTGATGCTCTATAACTTTGAGTCTATGGGTTTTTCCTCTTCAGGAACTCATTTCCAAGCTGCAGGACCATTTATAGTAATTAGTCTCAGTTTTTGACAAATTTAGTAAAAGCCGTCGTTGGTTGACCGTATATCTTACCGCGTAACCAAATTATAAAGTTTATGTACTTGTTTGATGCAAAATTTAACGTTCTTTAATTTATTAAAGAATACATTTTTCGCTTTGATGCATCGTTTAGGAATAATAGGTGACAAAACAAAATAATCTAACTTTTTTGGCTGAAAAATGTTTTCCCTTGGTGGCCCGCATTAGCAATTTTGTTTTTTACATGTCTAAACCCATATATACCAGTTAAAACAATAAACAATCTTCTCACATTTTTTGCAACAGATTTCCCGTTTTGATTTTCAAATTATTAGCATAATATTCTTTAAATCAGCCGCCATTTTTGAAAGCAGCGGCTCTAGAACGGCTGACAATGTTCTTTTTACTCAGAATAACACACTTTCGTAATTTACAATACAACCTTCGCCTGCGATGAGGTCGATTTTTGGGCCTTTGCTCCAGGGCTAATTGAACTAATTAGTCTTGTGAGATTAGTCATGACTTAGTTATTTATTTGAAAAATATAAGTCAAATTCTGACTTTTCTTCATTTAGAGATAAAAAAAATAGTCAAATTTAATCCTTGATTTCTGAGGTAACCAAACCACAAGCTTAATCTAATTTAATTATAGGTTCAATTAAAAGAACGATTAAGTTCGTTATAGAGAATATAATGAATCGTTCATGATTACACTAAGCTGGATGATTTTTGAAACTGTAAAAGAAGGAGGTTTCAAATATTTAAATTTTCCATTAAGCTTCAATATTTTTTAAAATATGAGAATTGGTATTTAATTTCTTATTAAGTTTCCAATTAGGCCGGAAAAACTGTGTTTACTTCAATATGGTTATCAGAACTCCCTTATCATTACTAAAATTCACAATAGTGATGTAAGTTCTTTACCAATTTTATGTTTTGGTTAATTGAGAAATATTTTATTTGTTTTATGTTAATGACACTATTAATCGGTCAATTCTTGCGCCATTCCACATAAGCGAAAATCCAAAGGTTTATTCTGATTTCCAAAATATATGTTTACTAAGGATTTTGGGTTTGTAAGTTGACCATAAATTTGATTTATGAATAAATAATTTGGAATTTTAAAATTTACTGTGTTAGTATAGCTTTTATGGCATATTATGACAGATTATGATATAGAGAACATGACAAAGATATTATGTAAGACAACACCCAAAAACTAAGCACACTTGATGTGTTCACACTTCTGTGTTTATTTTTTGAAGTTTCACTTTATTTTTATCTTTTTTTATGTATAAAATATTTACCACAATTCGTCAAGGTTTCTGTCAAGTTAATTTAAAATGGTATCGAATCACATTTAGATTAAGATGTGCTGTTTTTATAAATATTATTTAACCTTTTTGTAATTAGCAAATAATAAATCAAAATGTTAAAGTAAATGAATTAAAGAAATATTTGTTATTTATAATAGCTACTAGCATAATGTTTGCCATATAAATTATTTATAATCGTATATAAAATATTACAAAAAGTATCATCATTACTGGAGTAATTAGAATTCATCATATCAACAGGACATTTTGATTTGTCTTAGTTAATTTATTGAAGTAGGTTTTGCTAATGGCAAATTGAAAAATTACTTTTTCAGTTCTGTGCCGACTGATGAGGAAGCTTCTAGACCCTTTTTAGGGATTATTTAACAACTAAGTTGGGTTACATGATAAACTTTAGAAGGTGGCAGTTACTCATCACTCATAAGTGATCACAGTATTTGCTTCCTTAAAAGTAAAATGTTGATGAATAGTCCTTATATAGGTTATTTGACTTTTTCCTTAAAACTTGTTGAAATATAGAGATGGATTTATCCGCAGTTAATAGTCCTGTTATCCCTTAGTCAGTTGACTCCTTATTTTTTATGTAGGGGAGGTGCGTTTAACTACATATTTTATGCTGTAATTACCTATCCTTAAATTATTTTATCTTCGTATTTTGATTTTTTTTTGTTAGTAAATATTAAGTGATCCTTGGTGCAATAAATGTAATTGTATCTTGCACAGGCGGATCTACAAGGGGGGAGGCTTTCGGGCTGAAGCCCCCCCAAAATGGTAAAATATATCCATCTTGCGAAAAAAATCATCTCTAAAAAGTATTATTGTTAGTTAATTCTCGACCTCCTCCTGCGGGAAGACCTTTTTCGGCACAATATTAAGAGGGATGGCTTGGCGGATTTACCAGCAAACATTTGGGAGAGGATTTGTGATGACCTCAGAAGATGGAAGATGATCCTCCGGGAGGATACATTGGAACAATGGAATCTGCGATGGGTGACAACCCCAAACTGGTCCACACTAAGAAAAATTTTTCCCACCGTTGAATTGCTCTTAAAAAAGAAATGGGTCTCACAGATCCTCACGGGGCATGGGGTTTCAGAGCGAAACTTTTTAAACATGGTAAAAATATCGATACCTTATGCCCCACTTGTAGCCTGCACCAGCTATGAGGCATTGAGGGTTAAATTAATGAGGGATACAGAGCTTTACGTTCTAACAGAAAGACAATTACCCCAACTGATGTCTGAACAAAACTACCCGCACTTTAAATGTTTTGTATGCGGGTGGTAAAAAATTGTAGGCCCAACCCACTTCTCCCTGGGTAGGCGTGAAGAAGCAGTACCTGGAAGGCCGCTGATTAGGACAGGAGAAGAAGATGGAGGATGATAAAATAAGAGACAAAATTATGAAGCAGGCTGTGTGCACAGCAATGTAAAAATGTAAAAAGATAAACTTGCAACAGTGATTTTTTATGCAATGTGTATCAAGTCACTGCTGCAAACTCCCGTATTGTCTGAAAGGCAGGGTAGGGAGGAAAATAAAATAAATTAAAATAGTTAATTACATTTAATAGGACTTCAAGAAACACTCAAATACCATTTCTTGTAGGTAGTTAGTTTCTTTCTTTTTCTTTCAAAGTAATTATCGTTATATATATAGAAATATAAAGTTTTTGGGCTGAAATGTCCCCAAAACTAATTCCTGGATTCGCTAGTGGTATCTTGGAACACTTTATGTTTTAAGTTAGTTAATATTTAAATAAATAGAACTTGTAATAGTGTTTGGATAATAAATAAAGAAGGTTGTTCATATTTAAAATATTTTTATGTATTATCTGGTTTAAATTTCAATTTCTGGTTTTATTGGGTTTTTCATTTAAAAACGTTAAAAAAAATAAATTAATAACAATTTTTTGTTGAATGTACACTGACAGGCAAAAAATTCCACCCACTTGAGTTTTTCATGTTTTCATCTAAAAATATTTCTGCTTTGGATTGGTCTATTGTTTTTAATGAATAAATAGGTAATATTTTTGTTTGTTTTCGATTAGGAATGTTAATATAGAGGGCAATAACCCTTAATCCTTAATTCAATGAAATGATTCTAGATTTGAATGTTTACTTTCTATGGAATCAAAATGTTTATTCAGTATCATTAGTTCGGTGCCGTTTCTTGCAGCACATTTCTTAGTCTCCCGGCTTTTCATTTTTTCAATATTAAGTTTAAAAATGCCTCTTAGTATATCTTTGCTGGAGGATAGCCCATTCCTCCCGAAGAGCCCTTTCAAGGTCCTGCAGTGTATCAGGAAGTGTTGCACACGCTCTTATTCGTCTTCCGAGGTTATCCCATAAATGCTCAATGGGGATTAAATCTGAAGAACGTGCTGGCCAGGCTAAAACCTCAATATTGTTCTGTTGAAGGAATGTCTGCACTATGCGGGCGACATGTGGGCGTGCATTATCGTGCATTAGAATAGAACGATCGCCGATTTCGTTGAGGATAGGCAACACATGAGGTTCCAAAATCTCATCTACATAGCGAATGGCCGTCAAAGACCCTCCACGAACAACAACCAATTCTGTGCGGCGCTCCATTGAAATCCCAGCCCACACCATTAAGGAACCACGTTGGAAAGGTTGGCTCTGGGAAAAATTACAGGCTGCATATCTTTCGTTTCTTCTTCTCCACACCCTTTCACGCCCGTCTGGAGATCGAAGAGCGAATCTTGACTCATCTGTAAAAAGTACAGCACTCCATTCGTCCATAGTCCAATGGCTGTGTTCTCGAGCAAAAGCCAGCCGTGTTACTCTGTGAGTTCTGGTCAACTCTGGTCCTCTTACTGGACGAAAAGCCATTAATCCATACTCATTTAATCTTCTCCGAGCGGTACGTTCAGAAATTTGCACACCTCGAACTTCTTCGAGCTGATGAATCGCTTGAACAACGGTAAGGTGCCGGTTTCGTAAAATTCTCAAAGTCAAAAACCGGTCATCCCGTGGTTCTGTTACCCTAGGCCGTCCAGAACCGGGCCTTCTATTGTAAGAACCAGTTTCCCGAAAACGCCTGACGGCGTCTCGTAAAGTTTCATATGGAACTCCGATGGCATTAGCTGCATATCTAATGGAACGTCCATCATCAATAAGTGCCACACCACGCGCAACATCCTCAGCACTAAGAGGCATTTTTAAACTTAATATTGAAAAAATTAAAAGCCGGAGACTAAGAAATGTGCTGCAAGAAACGGCACTGAACTAATGATACTGAATAAACATTTTGATTCCATAGAAAGTAAACATTGGAATCTAGAATCATTTCATTAAATTAAGGATTAAGGGTTATTGTCCTCTATATTAACATTCCTAATTGAAAACAAACAAAAAGATTACCTATTTATTCATTAAAAACAATAGACCAATCCAAAGCAGATATATTTTTAGATGAAAACATGAAAAAATCAAGTGGGTGGAATTTTTTGCCTGTCGGTATATATTTTTTTTATATGAGATACTTATCCTTTACAATATCACTTAGTTTAGTGTCCTAAAAGTGTTGTCAGGTTTTGTACATAAATATTTTGATTGTTAATAGTATGATATTCTTTTGATTTTTTTTTTTTTAAATGTTATTTGTAAAGATAGATATTTATGTAATTCTAAATATTTAATAGAAATAGGATTATTTAATGACAAAATATTTTAAAATTAATAATATATTTTTTAATGATATAACATGTTTTTTTAATTTGCAGACGTTCACATTATGCTTTACAGAAAAACAGCATCAGTCATTGCATCATAGCCCGTAGTATTCAAAATATTAAAAAAAATCCTATTTTAAGAAATACCTTCAAAAGTAATACTTTACGAGTACCTGTGAGTATAGCTTGCTTTTCAGCGACTGCTTTGGCTGTGAAATCTCCTTCTATTGAAAAAATAATTCCTGAAAAAAAGGAAGTGATAAGACAAACAAGTTCTTTGTATTGGAGGCGTTTGTTAAAATTGATTTATTCTGACATCTGGCTTTGGTTGGGTGCACTTGTGGTGAGATATCTATTAATATTATTGTTTTAATTTACATCATCATGCCAATTCTAGTGACTAGCTTTGGGAACTTGTTCTCTGTGATTATTTAGTGCCCAGTTTCCCCGAGTTACTTATACCTTATTGACTGTAAAGTAGTATTTTTAATCTCAGCAGTTTATAGAATGCCCCAGATGTTAAGTAGCAAATAAATTCCCATTTTTTAATCATGAAGCTAGGCGCAGAAGTCCTCATGCCCTTTAAGGATCTCAATATTTAATATTTCAATAGAATCCATTTGGCTCCTAACCATCAAGTTATTCCTAATTATACTTGTTTATTTCTATTTCTGTCTTTTTAAAGAATTATATTATCACCTAAATATGTTAATTACATGCAATTTAAGGTTTGTAAAGAAATCCTTTAAAGGTGAAAACTATGGAAAACCTTTAGGACCTGGTAAGATATGTCTGGAACTCTTGAAATACTTTGGTGAAAAAGTGGCAATAATTCTCACATAATTAATAATCATGATGAAAACTGAGTACTGAAAGAAATGAATAATCTTAATAATAATTGTAATTATCTGAGATTTAGTTGGAAATTGTTTTATGTTAAATAATGTAGTCATAGTTTCTTTAAATGATTCTATGGTGGTCATTGTGTACAATGGGTTAGGTTAATATATGCTTCATCCAGCTCAAAATTCAGTTAGATTTTTAGTTCCAAGGTGATTTTAGGCTTTCTTGCCTTGAGATTGACTTTACACAATCAGAAGAAAAAAATATATTTTACATGTTCAATTACCTTCATCAATCGTCTCCTTTTCAATTAATGTGCTACTTCTATGAGCATCATAGGCAGTATAATTAATGGTATTGTACTTGGTATATTAATTGTCCTGAAATTCTTTTAGAATTTTTTTTTTTAAAGAGATGTACACTGTTTCTAATAAAAAAAACAAAATAAAATATGTAGGTATGTGTTTCTGTTTTTATGATTTATATTACATTGTAGTTTTTGTATATTAATCTGTTATAATGTTTTCTCTCTTTTTTTCTTTTTAAGGCTGCATTGGGCGTAGCCTATATTAATATTATTATACCTATTAGTTTAGGTAATGTAGTAAACATAATATCAACCGGAGAAGGGCACGAATATATTCCTCTTCGTTGTCTAAAACTAATTGGTTTATATCTTGCTCAAGTAAGTTTTGAATTTTCTTTTGTATATATTGTTTTTATTTATTTATAATTTTAGTTATGATAATATAATCATACTTTGATCTACTGCCTTTCCTTTGAATAAGTTGTGATAAACTAAAGTACATAGGAGTATGTAAATGTTTTGAGATTAAAAATTAGTGACTAATATCGTAATTTAAATATATGATATACTATCACATTTTCCAATATTCTATCATCATTACAATATTGATATAATTAGTAATCTTTATTGTTTTGTTTTGGTATGTATCTTTTATTTCTTGGTGGACATTTGTTTCTTATATTGAGTAGAAATAACTACTCAATAAGATTTTCACAAATATTATTCATTTACCTATATTTAGATTTATCTTTTTAGATCTTCTTAATCAATCATTTTAATTGTTTTCTGCACTCTTTTTCTAATTAGAATAAGTGCTGAAGGTAGAAACTGCATTTGGAAATAATCAATTTATTATACAAAAATGTCAATACATTTCTAGGGATTTGGAACTTTTTGTTATATTGCTCTTCTCTCTTCAGCTGGAGAGAGAATGGCATTCAAACTGCGAAAGGAATTGTATCAAAATTTAATTAAACAAGACATGGAATTTTTTGACTCTATAAGAACTGCTGAGCTTCTTGAATGGTGAGTTTTGAGATTATTATATATTTAAATACACTTTTAATTTATTTTTGGGGAGTACTTGAGTGCATCTGTTGTGTACTATATATTATTTACTGTCCTTGAACAGTTCAATTATATTAATGAAAGTTAAAAATTCAGTGAATTGATTATTTGAAAAAGCTACAATATAATGCAGTGTATTGTAAAATTCATGTATATTCCAAGAGGAGGATTTGGCCGTCAAGTTTAGCATTATTTCCATTGAAAATAATGGAGAGGTGCTCACAGTGCCTATTATTGTTAAATAGACTAATTTCAGTTGTATTTTGAATCTGCATAACTTAGCTCTCTGCCACCATAGCAGGGGCATAGAGGGTCTTACATCTGATTACTGCAATATATAATCAATAGGCTACTTTAATTGCTTTGAACCCTAAGATTTGCCTTCTGCCTTTTACTGCTCTAGGTGGCCCGTATCCTCTTTATACTTTTAATAATAAATTTTTTTTTCCTGGATATTATATATTGATGAATAAAAAAACTCTTGAAGAGACCAAAATCAGATGTTAGGTTATAATTGGAAAAATTCAACTGCTCAGCATTATTTCTCTAAAATGCAGGCAAAAAAACAAGAGATCATTTCATTCCATGACATCCAAACATTTTTATGGATTAAGTGATCTTTTGTTTTTTCTGTCCTGATGATGCCTGAATTGGCAAAACTTTCAAGGGTTATTTTGGTTTTTACCTGCATTTTAGAGAGACAAGGCTATGCAGTTCGAATTTCGCAATTTTAATCTAACCTCAAATTTTTTCTCTTGAAGAGTTTTTTACTCATTTAAATCAATATATTTTGTGAAATAGCTGTTTTTTGGTATTGACTCTTGGTATCTAAATTTTATTCATGAAATAAAAGCAATAATGGTGAAAATATGAATTTAGTTAATAATTATGCAAATTGCTTAAAATGGTATATTTCTACCAACTGTAAAAAGTATTATTTAATAAAGCATAAAGAAGAAGGAATTATATCCAAAAATTTCTTAGATAGACTTAAATAATCTCAACAATAACTTTTGTTGTGTAACAAATGTCTTGTTTTTAATAGTATAGGAATGGAACTCATGAGTCAGATATACAAAAGTGTATGTTTTAGGGTGATATGCGCAGTCGTTCCTCTAAATCCACTTGAAAGACCCATAAAAAAAAAAAAAAAAATGATTTTATGAAACTCAATGAAAAAGCTTTCAGCCCATTTGGTTCCAGATCCATCTATAAATGTAAATATAAATTGGAACAGTCCTATTACCTCCTTTGCTTACTTGATGCTCAGTCGATACTTTAAATGCGTTTTCACACCAATGTTTAAGAGAAGAAGGAACATCACATTGGCTTAAATTAGTGCTTTTTCATTATATTAATAAAAATATTCCTTTTTCAAGAACATTCTAGTGAAGTTAGAGGAACGACTATGTATACCACTTAATTATCATTAAATTTAGTAATTATTGTTAAATTAATAATTATTAAGTAATATATTTTAAATTGTATTTTGAAATTATTTTTAGTGTGTTTACTGATGTTCAAGAATTTAAAAGTTCTTTTAAACAGTGTGTTTCCCAAGGTGTTAAAAACATTTTTCAGGTAAAAAAACAAATATGAGTATCCAACTAATTCCGTATTACTTATTAATATGTTAAAAATAACTTCTGAATCATTTTTCAGATATGTGGAAGTATTATTTCATTAATCAAGATATCACCAGGTATGACATTGACTATTGTCACAGTTGTACCACCTGTTGTTATTCTTGGGACACTATTTGGTGCTCTGCTTAGAAAACTATCTACTGCTGCACAAAAACAGGTTTTAATTTATAAAATGTTTAAAATTAATTATAAAATTAGCATTTTACATATCAATAATATAGAATTCTCTGCAGAACTACAGTTACTACTTAACCTACGAAGGGATTAGGTTCTGAAGCTGGGTACACACCTAGCAAGACAGACAACGCATCATATGAAGTGTGATCATTGTCTTCAGGTGGTGCGCCATGAAGGTGGAACCTGGGGGTTGGCAACTTCAAGCCATCAGTTAGCGTGAGACAGCTATGTTGGGCATTAGTCTTTCAAAACACGGAACTTTGAAATTCAAAACTTTAGCTAACGCAAATATGTGAGTAAATATTGTCAATCGTCAAGTGATGAGATTTTCTTATTATTTTATCAAGTACTGATTTTTTGATTCCCCTGAAATCTATCTTCATTTAATGGTTAAAAATACATACTTCTTGTACTAATGCTTTTCCTTTCCCTGGCTTTCTTCCTTCTGTAGCTTCCAAACTAATTATTTTTCTTTGTCTAAAGCTCACCAACTAAAAGCCCAAGGGCTGCCCTTATCTTACCCCAAGTATCATTTTTTTGATGTCAAATGAAACTCCTTTATTTTAATGAATGATACTCCCTATATTTTTTCTATCAAAAAGATAATCTGGTTTTTATTAATGCTGTTAAGCAGTGTGAGGCAGGCTGAACCACTTCCAAATAGGGGACAAGCAGCAGTATGAGGTCCCTATGAACCTTGTCCAAAAACTGACGGAGAGTGGCTTGCTGCCTCATGCTTCAAGCTCACACATATGTCAGACATATACTCTAGCAGCAGGAGTCCACACTATACTAACATGACAGATATATTGCCTTGCTTTAGAAACCTTTGTGAATTTTTTGACTATCTTCCAATCTTAAAAAAGGGATTAGGCTCTGTAGCATTTTCCCATTTAAATGAAAATTATTAGTGAAATGCATGTAAGTTTATTTAGCAGTAATATGAACTATGATTATTAAGTTATTATGTTTAAATGGTGGTCCATTTTTATAATCTAAGAGACGGTCAGGGTTGTTATTTTTCACTACTAACAGAAAAAAAACATGAACTATTTATAGAATACTCGGATCAAAGTCATAGTATTAAAAAGGTAGATTAAGGTCATAGTAATATTTAATAAAATTATATAAATGGTAAAGAAATAAATTACACTGATATAAAGCAAATGAAGACAATACCATTGAGATGTTGACTTTTGACTCCTTTTATTGATGATATTTATTTACTTTCATATTTTTTCTTGTATGATTTTAATTCCGTGTATCTTGTTAATTAGTATACTTTCTTTTTCTTACTCCTATGCCTCTCATTTGTATCCTTGGCCATTTGGCATATCTGGGATCACATCTTTCCTCTCCTTCTCTGCAGTCCTTCAAAATACTCCCTGTATGTCACCCTAGATCATTTGAATTTTCCTTTGTGTACCTTTCTGCGATGAGGAGAATATCTTTTGCAAAAATGAAAGCTTTTGCCAAAATTGGGGTGATTCCTATATCTGAAAATAGTCCGGGATATTCTTCTGATGCATATCTGGAGTATTTTATGTATGTTTGATGTAAAGTATAATTCACATTCTTTTTATATATATATATATATATAAGATAAAGACCGGAGACTGGCGATATCAGCCTTAATACCATCTTGTAATGTAAATAAACATAGCAATTGTATATAAGGCAGATTATTGAACGAATAAAGCAGTGTTAATTCAGAAGCCGTGAGTATTGTTTCTCGTTCCTCTTTCCTTCTTTTTTTTTATTTACAAAGCCCGGAGACGCTTAACTGGTGCCGAAACCCGGGAGAACGTCAGGAGAACACGGAAGTAAAATTTTTTTTCCCTTTCTTTATTTTAATTTTTTTTTCTCTTCTCCTAGTCATAAGGAAAAGACGAGATGCCGACAGAGGGCATAATTCGACCAGGAGTGTTGAACGCACCTGAAATGCCGCAACCTCAGGAAATGCCGATAGCGCAGATTCCTCAGATCGCCCCTCAGGTTCCGCAGATTCCGCAGATACCTCAGATACCTCAAGTACCGCAGATACAAGAGATCCCTCCCTTACCTAGGGACACATTGGCAGAGGCGCACGCCAATGCATTGGAGTGGATGAAGATAAGGGCAGCGACCACGCAGGATCTACGGAGAGCAATCGCAGACCTGGAGCGATTCGGGGGCGAGATAGGTGAACTTAATCACTTCCTGAAAGGTGGAGACCGCCTCATATCAAGAATCGAAGCAAAGGTGGCGGAGGACCTCGTGAACCTGGGAGACGCAGAAGCACTGAAGGCAGCTCTCGTGTGCCGAGTGAGGAGGAACATCCTCAACCAAATCCAAGCGGACGAGGAGACACCATGGCCAGTGATTAAGGAGCGTTTGAAGAAGGCTTTCGGAGGGGGCCGATGGACGCCGGAAGAAGATATCTTCCAAATGTTTAGGGAGTGTCGGTCCCAACGCCAATCAAGAGGACAGTATGCGGGGGTACTAGTGGCGAAGTACAACCGCATAACTGAGAAAATGCGGGAAACCATGAGTGTGGGAGAGGTCGAAGCTAGGATGGAATTCCTTTCGACAATACTCAAGGTTCAGTTGGCTAAGGAGACTGGGAGAAGGGACGGACTGCCTAGAGAGCGATCGTTCCTCGAGTGTGCCCAAGAAATGATAGATCTGAGTGCAAGAGAGGAAGAGACGCGGATGGAAGTAGAAGAACCAGGGTGGACCCGGGTGAGTGACAGACGACCCCGGACAGCCCAGATCGGGTGGAGGAAGAGGGAAATGAAACACCCGAACGGAGAAAAAGCCACGACGGGCGAGAGAAGATCCGGACAGTCCAGGCCTAGGAATGGACCCCGGAGGGAAGACAGAAAATGTCACGGGTGCGGGAAACCGGGACATTTGGTAGCACAATGTCCGCGCACTAGATGTTTCGAGTGCGGGACGGAAGGGCATATTGCCAGACAGTGCCCGTACATGTTTCGCAGGAGAGAGAGACCTCTAGACGAGCCAATGGAGGTGAACGCTCAAAAGTTGAAAAAACGAGCTAGGATGCAGCAGAGAGACGGATCTTCGGAAGAGGCAACCGAGGAGTCGGGGACGTCGGGAACGGAGACTGACGAGCCAGCCAGCAGTGGAGGCGAAGGAGGCAGGAGCAGCCAACGGAGCGAGCAACGACGAGCGACGGTGGTAAGGAGGAAGCGAGGTGGCATCTGAGAAGGGTGTCAGCAGAGAGGCGACCGCACAGCAACCTGCAACAATATTAGAGGTAAGCCATGCTGGTTGCCGATTATTGAGGTAGACGGGGGAGTGAAGTGTCTCGTGGACACAGGGAGCTCGAGTACTATCTTGACTCGGGGGGCGTTGGGGAGAGTGTGCGGGAGCGAGAGGGTACTCCGGATACAAAACTGTGGCTGCCAGCTAATCACTCTGGGTGGTCCCTGTAAAGTAGAAGGGGAAGCGTCAATTACGCTTGATCGGTGGGCAGGGAAAAAGGGGGAGCTAAAGGTGCATGTGGTAGAGAGCATGACGCGGGAGTACCAAGTCATAATAGGGTGTGATCTGTTAGGACAGGTAGGGGTAAGCATTAGAAACCGTAGAGGAGCTTGGAGGATCAGGCTGGGAAAGAGGAAATTTGGATGTATAGGGGTCGCGAGAGAAAGAAGGGTGCGGATAGGAGCGGTGAACAGGGTGGAGGACTGGAGAAAGGCGTTACAAGCGGAGTTCGTAGATATTTTCTTCAGGGAGGGCGAGGTATTGGGGGTAACAGGGAAGACGGTACACGAAGTTCCACTGAAGCAAGATAGGGTGACCTACGTAAAGGAAAGGAGATACCCGCAGGCGCTGAGGCAGCATATTCGGGAGGAATTGGAAAGCCTAAAGGAGCAAGGGATCATAGTCGATAGCACCTCGCCATTCAATAGTCCCCTGTGGGCAGTGAAAAAGAAGGCAGCGCCGGGGGATAATAAGGAAAGATACAGAGTGGTAGTGGACTATCGTAGGTTGAACGACAACACGGTAGACGAAAAGTACCCTTATCGCGTATTATAAAAAAATATGTTTTTTTTATTATTATTACTGTTGATGATGTCATTTTTTTTCTCTCATTATTTTTGTTGTTCTTGTAAATAAAGATATGACAGCATAATAGAGGTGATTGTAATTTTTATAGGATTAAGAGTTCTGTCCATTGTTAATAAGACGTTGTGTGTTTACTTTCTGTGGTTTATTTCTTTTTATTTATTTCTCGTTCCAGCGGAGTGGAAGTGAGGTTTGGTGTACTTTAAGTTTATACTGGTACGAATAAATTGTAAAGGGTTAAGGCTGATATCGGTGGCTCCGATCTAGGAATTTATAAGTTTCCGAAAATCCTATTCGTAAACTGGTGGGGGGGAGATAAAGACCGGAGACTGGCGATATCAGCCTTAATACCATCTTGTAATGTAAATAAACATAGCAATTGTATATAAGGCAGATTATTGAACGAATAAAGCAGTGTTAATTCAGAAGCCGTGAGTATTGTTTCTCGTTCCTCTTTCCTTCTTTTTTTTTATTTACAAAGCCCGGAGACGCTTAACTTATATATATATATATATATATATATATAAATTGTTAATTTACATGACAATTAAGTGAATAATCTCAATAAAATCTTTATTTTAGTCAATGTCACTTGTAGGCAGTTGGAGTTGGCAAAATCTCAATATATAACTATGCCTTATTTGTTGTTTCTTATTATGCAAATTCTTAATTGAAAATTCAAATTACATTTGCTTCCTTTTAGAAAAATATTTTGAGCTATATATTGACTATATATACAAGCTATATAAGCAGATATATTTACATTTTATTTTTGGATAAGAATAGAAAAAACAGTCCTAAAGGGATTGAATCAATTATCATGAAATCCATAAAATCAAGAATGAGAAAGACTAAGTGTAAAGCTTAGAACACGTTGGAAGGTGCGGTGTAGCTCATTGGACTTCCTTA